GTGTGAGACGTCAGAATAGATAGCCCAGAAACACGATGGGGTGACACTAACGTTGAGATAGTAGGACAAACTTCGCAACAACCTAGCTTCATAGAAGACAAAGAGGCAGCGTGAACAGTGGAAGAATTTGAATACAACAAGATAACACTATTTCTGCAGCATTCTCGTTAACATCGATTGTGTTTAGAGTGGTGCGTGGCTAGGTTATCGCTACGGTATACGAAACAGAACGAGAGACAGAGCCATAATGAACATGCCCAATAAGAAACCATTGCCGGCCCATTTGTTGCTGGGATCATGAAGTACCGCGAACGTCTGCAACTTGAGAATTGCAATATAGGTCTGAGAAAATGACACTCCGAACAACACGCCTTGCACAGCATACCATAATTCCGGCTGTAAGACCCAACATACACCCAATAGAAAAGGGCCCTAGCAGATCACCAAGAATCAACCAGGCAAGTATACCTCCCAGGGGCTCAGCGACGGCTGATAAGAGAGTCCACAGAAAGGCTTGTAGTTTGCTACCAGTGGCTTTCAAAACTGGAGCGGCGACGGCAATACCTGAGTGAGCCGAGACGAGACTGACTTCACGGAGTAGCCGCTAAGGGATGACCAACTTACCCTCGGGAATATTGTGAACACCGATGGCAAAAGCCAGGGAGACTCCAACACTTGGCTCCTCTAAGGTGCCGAGAAAGCCAACTATCCCTTCAGGGAAGTTGTGCAAACATATGGCGATAGCCGTGAACACGCCTGTCTTCAACAACTGGAGCTTTACTCTTGCCTTATCGTCGACGCTCCCATCCTAAGAATGAAAATTTCACGCGGACGGCGTCATATAAGTATCATCACTGAAAACTCAGAATGCGGAACGAGACAAATAGGGACAGACGAATCACTAGATAAAACAATGACAGCGTTGACGGCCACTCACGCGTTACCTCCACATCTCCTGTTCGGTTCTTGCGACCACCGAGCTCCCGAAAGGCTATTGCAGCCTCGCCAACCCCACCGTGGTCCTCAGTTATATCCATATGCGCGGCGGGCAACGAGGATGAGCCTCTACGCTTCATAATATACTCGCTTAGCAAATCAAGTAACTGAGCAATACATATGTGGGATCAGGGCAGCTTAGCCGTAGTATCTCACCAGAGTTAACAAACAACCGAGGAAAAACACACCAACAGCGGACATGAAAGCATAGTCCTCTGCCAAGCCTCCCTCATGTATACTGAAACAGCATACGAATCAAAAATAGAGACACCAGTCGCGAGTCATACAGATTTGTTGCCTCGTTGAGAATCTCTACCAGACTAACGAAGACCATAACGCCAGCGGATAGCGAGAGGCAGCCTGCAAGGAACCGGGAGTCTTGAGCAAACGGTAAGAAGGCAATGGCACATCCAATGAGAGAGGCAGAACCTGATCAAGTCAGCAAAGACTTATCGAGAGTACGATGAACCAACATGAGGGCATAAGCGACCCACCCGCAGCACAGGTGAGACCAATGGCAAGACCAATGTGGGGACTTTGGAGAACCATGAGGGAGAATTCAAGCTAACCGAACTTTCAAAAGAGCCTTCCGATATGTTTTACTAGTCGCTCATGAGATATATCTTCA